GAGGCTAAAAGGATCATTTCCTGATTAAAGGCAATTACAGAGCTGATGAGGAAGTTGGAAAACCTTTTTTCTGGGACAATAGATTCAACATATGGAGAAAACAAACAGCAGTTAGCAATTTCAGGAACATCTAAAGCTCTGCAGGCTTCAACATTTAAACTTGGGTTAACATCAAATTAAAGGCTCCTCCTCGATCAATTTCCAACAACTTTCCAGGTGTCGTGTGCAGCAACATTAAGCTACTGCTAAGGGTGAATATATGAACGACTGTTACAATTTTAAAAATAATGGCACAGGCTTTTGGAACAGATTCCATGGGGAAAAAAATTGATTAAATGTTTGGCTACATTCAATCCGTAGCATTCATTAATACCAAAACCACATGAATAGGTTCAAAATTTGCAAGATGTGGCTTCTTTTAATGCAAAGCCTCAAACTTTGCTCACTGTGGCCATCTAGTGGTGAAATAAATAGAAAAAAGCTGTCAAGTCTTGGTGTGAAAAAAGTGGCTGAAGGTTTTATCATAACAGAATATTTTTTATTTCAGCCCATCTGTGAGGATTTTTAAAAAAAAATAGCAAACGGTGATTTAGTAGCATTTTTATAATCTAATTGTTCATGTTTGAACTTTAGGATTAATTAAAACGAGCTTCTTTCAGGCCAGCGTCTACAATACTTTAGAAATAAAACCTGCGACAATAAAGGTGGCAAGGGGAATGGAGAGCTGCGCTAAAAGGCTGAATTTTCTGGTGGCCTTAAAATTCAAACAATTTCCAAAACATCCTGAAACAAAATGAAAAGTTTTAGATTTAAATCCAGTTCGACAGGAGCCTCGTTTTTATCATTTCATTACTTTTATTTACAAGCAAAATTTCTGAAATGCCGAAACGAATGCAAAGCATCAACAGTGTCACAGTTAGCCAGTGTTTGTATATTTTAAATCAGAAGCCATCATTGTAAGAACCGACACAACACAAAAAGCAGAAAGAGAGAGAAGGGGAGGGAGGGGTTAAGTCCTGTGCGGTGAACAGTACAGCTTATAAACAAACCCTGCCTGCGGGCCAGCTCCTTTTCTTTTCTTTAACGACTTAACATGCAAAAAAGAGTTTTAAATGTTTTAGAGTGTAAGAAAATGAGGAAATCAGCCGAGCAGTGCGATTAACACCGACTTGGTTCATAGCGCCGGGTGAGAAATCACACAGTTGCTTGTAGGTCAACCTGAGAGGAGCTTTCCCAGCCTCACGCTGTTCACAGAATGGTTTTAAAGCTTTACGGCTTTTATTGAGGTCACCGTCGATTTCCAGGCGGGGGGGGATGAATGAGTAACACTGAGCCGAACACGACTGGGGAGGTTAGGGGGCAACACCAGACTCCGGTTGGGCTTAAAGATCCAATGACTGACCGGTAACGGCGTGTTCGTGCAACCTGAAAAACCTCAACAGAGGTGGGTTTTTTTGGAAATATGAAAACAAATCCTCAGCGTTTGAAGCGCCGAGAGCGTCCTGTCTGCATCCATGATGTGGCTGGTGGTTAATCGGAGGTTATGTCCATGGCATCATTCCCTGAGAGTGAAGAACTGCACACATTTCACAACATCACTGGTATTTAAAAAAAACAAAACCAAAAACAAAACCCCACAATACAAAGTTCATCATCGTTAGCTTGTGAATACATCGACTGCAGCCGCTTGAAGTATTTCTACCCCTGGAACTTTTCCATATTTTTGTCAAGCTGCAACAATAAAATGAAGCTTATAATACTAAGCTTTTATGTGACGGATAGTGTTTCTAAAGACAAACATGATGCTGCTGCCGCCATGTTTTATACAGTTG